GTTTGATGACTTTTTCTACGACTTTTGTTATGTTACGTTTGATGAATTTTATATGCATGGGTTTTTTTATTGGATAATGTTTGGTGCATCACTTTTGTGTTATTAGATAAATATTTTTTTGTTATTTACTTTATATTTGTCATGTTATAAATATTTTGGTTGTTTATTTTATATTTGACATATGTAATTGTATTTTACAGGTCAAGTATGATTTTTAATGGTGAAGCTTTAGCTTTTCTTTTACTTGTCTTGTATTGGTTGAGGTTAAGCCGGCCAAGGCTAAAAAAAATTCATAGAATAAGAGATAACGATTCGAGCGGTTATGCGTATACGCAAGATTTGATACACGGGGACCCTATCGAATGTTACGATATGATGCGTCTTACACAAGAGGCATTTGTATTATTATGAAATCATTTTACGCAAAGAAGTTGGTTGCAAGCTAGTAGAACGATAAGCATTGAAGAGAATATGGCTATGTTTTTACATGTTATAGGACATAATGAACGTTTTCGAGCGGTTAAAGGAAGATTTCATCACTCCACACAAACCATTCATCAATGTTTTCATGAGGTCTTAAATGAAATGATGTGTTTTGCAAAAGAAATTATAGTACCAACAAATCCTAATCCAACAAGACATGCCTCAGAACGACAAAGACGGTTAAAAGCTATATTTTCCGGAGCAATAGGTGCACTAGATGGAACTCTTGTACATGCAGTTGTGCCCATTGATCAACAAACGAGGTATAGGGGAAGAGGAAAATGTGAATGTTATCAAAATGTATTAGGAATTTGTGATTTTGATATGATATTCACCTTTGTATGAGTTGGATGGGAAGGCATAGCACATGATTCAATAGTTTTGAAAGAAGTTGCATTCAATCCATCTTCCGGATTTCCATTCCCTCCACCAGGTTTCTAATATTTATATAAGTTTATTTATATTCTTTATATAAGTTTTATTATCTGTATTCTTTATATAATAAATGTCACTCGCCTACAGATAAATATTATATTTGTGATGCCGCATATACCAACACTCGTGGGTTCATGGCTCCGTACCGTGGCACTAGGTATTGGTTAGCCGATTTTCGAGGACGTCGACCTTTAACTAAAGAAGAAAGGTTCAATCTTACTCATGCACAACTTAGAAATGTTATTGAGCGTGCTTATGGTGTATTGAAGGCGAGATTCCCAATCTTAAAACAAATGGCTCCTTATCCTTTTCTGATACAAAGAGACATCGTCATTGCTTATGTCACGGTCCATAATTTTATAAGGAAATACAATATCCAAGAAGAGTTATTTGAAATTTTTGAAGAGAACGTTATGGTTAATCTTGATACGCACGGTGGAGGAATTGAAGGCGAAAACACACAAGGCATAGAATGGGGTTCAGAAGCCGTTGAATACATGGCTACTTTGCGTGAGCAGATTGATAATCAACTACTTTCACCCAGTTTACTTTAGAGATGTATGCAAATTAGTATGTTATTTTCAATTTTAGTATGTTTCTATTTGGATTTTGATTGATTTATGTTTAATTACTTTGTAAGACAATTTGTATTCGGATTTTTAAATGATTATTGTGTAATTTTGATTTTGTATGATAATTTATATGTTTTTATAATCATTCAGCAACTTCATCCATCACAAAATAGAACAGCAGGGTAATATGGTCATTTTTCATCATTCAGCACAGTCAGTCATATGTACAATCAAACAGCATTGTTTCTTTCCCAGTCAGAAAACTTTTCCAGACAGCACTTTCCCATACAGCACTTTCTCATATAGCAACTATCAAACGACCTCTTAGCCTTATAGGTTACGACTTAGGACCTTAGACTATCCACCACGAGTCAAAATGTCAAAACAATCAAATGGTCTATGAATCAATGATATATATTATATAATACATATTAAATATTAATACTTGATACATCAATACATCTAAAGTAAAATAATTTTTTATTAAGAATATAAACGGGTTGGCGGGTCAACCCGTTTATTTTTTAAGAAACCCATATATGACCCGTTTAATAAACAGGTTGGCGGGTTGGCGGGTTGAAAAACTCAACCCAAACCCATTTATTTCATATTGTGTCGCGGTCGTGTAGAGAATTATCGGCCCTACTTCCCGATCCTTCATCACCTCTCTCTTCTCTTTGAATCTCTTTTCCCACCGCTCATTCCTCCAATTAACTTCATTTAACACCAGTTTCATCCAGAATTAAGAGGTTGAAATTAATTTTTATCTTTGTTGAACTTTTTTTTGTCCATCGTTTCCCGAGAGAAGTATCTGCTTCGACATTGAAGGTGTGCGACGGGTGTCGCCATCGATCGAAATCCACTCCGGCTCTAAACCACCGGTATTGAAGCCGACTTCAATTCTAGGTGACCAAGGAATGAAGCGGTGGAGACAGTAATACCTTCTGTTCTTCTCTATTTTTGCTTTTGTTTCTCTTTAGGGCTCGAATACTTCCCCAACCTTACTATAACCACTGGTGTTGTAAATTGTGTGTTGTGGATTGTTTCTCTTCACCATCCACCGCCTTTCTCCATCATTAAAGTGTTGTTTGTTTTTTTTAAAAAAAAACACTTAAAACCACTTATTGTTGCGTCGCTGCGCGTGTGGCCATACACAGCTGTTTGTTTTTCAGAAGACTTCTAACTTAAAAACTGATGCGCGTGTGCTGCGTGGCGCAACACTAAACCAACTGCTTCAAACCTCTTCACGCCTTAGTTTAACTTACTGCAGCAGTCTGCAGACGTTAAAAAACAAACATATTTTTTATTACATGCTGCAGCTGTTTGTTCCACCTCTTCTGCTACAGAGGATTGAAGAGGTGGTCCTCAGACTTCAAGCAATTTCTCTTCAAAAAACAAACAGCACCTTAATCAACTTATGAAATACTTGCGTTCCAATTTTTAGATAAAGACGTCGAGACACCATCACCTCCTACATTTCGGTTTATGAAAAACTTGTCTTGAATTTTTTTGATTAAAGTTGACAAATTCAATTGTTTAATTCAAGCACCAATTTCCAATATTAGTTTGGGATGAGACTATTTTTTTACAAGGAAATCACAAACTACATCGACCTACATTTCTTTTACATGAAAACTCAAATTAAAACATATGTAATAAGTTAAGACTTTCGTTGTTTATTCAAAATATAGTTTGTGATAGGTTAACATTGAGTTTTTACAAACGAGTTGTTTGTGGATGACTATCAATGTATTTAAATGGAGGGCAGAAACAGAAAGAAATGGTTTGTTAGAAAGTTAGATGAGAAAGCTTTTAATGAGCACGTAGCCTTCCATGGAGTCGGTTGATAAAAAACAACAAGAATCAAAAGAGTTTGAAATGTTGATGTTATAAAATATATCATAATTCAAAAATTATAAATTTTACTGTTAAAATAGCATTATTTCAGACAACTTCAGATACTTTCAAAACCACACAAGCTAACAGGGTGTTGTTAATCACACCCGAAATTTGGGTCAAAACCACTTTATTAAGTAAAGTCAAAACCATTTAACTTAAAGCCCAAATTGATATGACTATTAATCTAAATTCAAATGATATTTTCTTTTTTCTTAATTAACGCCATATCTTTTATTTTTCATCTTTTTCATTACGTTTCATTTTCCTTTTCTATTTCATATATATATATATACTAGGTATGTCTGTGGCCCGTGCTAAGCACGGTCCATGGAAGGTAGTTTGGGTATTTCCTATTCGTTGTCTAAAGTATTGTGTGCTAATAACCAAAAAACTGAAACTACAATGCTATAAATCGATGATATTTTCAACGTAAAATGCATGAATAAGAAAATGAAAATGGAATTACATTGTTATAATCAGCGAATATATGGTAGTCCATGTAAATTCGTGATAGATTTTTGCATCTTATTGAAAACCAATTAACTTTATTTCTCTATTCAAGGCTTTAGTCACTTGTTCTTGATTGCCCACTGATCTTTAACATTATATCCATTGCTTCTTGGTTCTACATGACCTAAAAAGTTAAGCATAAATTAGAAGGATTTGGGACTTTAAAAACTTTTTTAGCCCTTGCATCCATCTTAACATATTTGGATCTAATATTAACATCAAGTAGCTAATTGATGTGTTATGTAATTAAACAAAAGTGATTCATTATTACTACATTGTTAATGGATGTTGTGTAGTGTCATGTGGATTCAACAACAAAGGTCACACAACATTGGACGCACATATCTTTATAAGATTTGATATAATGTTTAATTGAATAACTTTGTCTTTACAACTTGTGGTGAAGCAAAGTAGATCTTAACACCATTATATGGCTAGTAGATATGTAAAAGAGCAAATTGGTTGCCAGTTTGCAAGATCCAAACAAGTCAAATTTTAATTTCATCCAACACTCCTATCTCTCGAATAGTTTACACATTAAGAATAACCTTGTGATTATTAGTTAGTAGTTTATGATATATTTGTGAGTCAATACATGTAAAATCAAGAAACATATAAAAGAGAGATGGAACATAGAAAATCAGTAGGTTGTAAACCAATCGAATAAACACACCAAACATGATTATAATGAGAGCAACTACTTTCTACCATGTAAATTCACCATGAGTGTAAAATACAGCTACGTGAATAATAAAAATAGAACATTAAAACAGTTGGTATTTAAATAAAATTAAATATAATTACATCTTGCAACGATGTTAGTGAAGTCGTTTCCTTAGCAGTTGTTGGTTATAATTCATCGTGTAATTTACAAAAATGGTCCTTGTGCTTTTTATTTCTTTTGTGTATTGTCCAAAACTGAAACCATTTCAATATTGATTTTACCATTTTATAGATTTAGCCACTCAACTATTTTCTATAGTGATTACTTATTTTTGACTTAAAGAGAGGGCCATACCAGTATTGTGACAGCTTCCTTCACAACTCCAGTAATAGTAAATATTGTTTCAATTGTTATAGAAAGAAGAATGTACTGTATAACGCCTCTAAATGTAAAACATGTGAAGATTAATTAGTATAATAAAAAGTAGTTAATTATATTAGAAACACTTAACATAAAAAATACAAGAGCATCAAAAGGCCATTAAAGTGTGATATGTCATGGGCTACAAAAATAACTTGTCCTTAAGGTTCACTTCTGCGATATTGAAGACTTGATGACCAACAAGTAGATTATTGTACAACTGCTCCATGCAACTAACTCGCCCAACCTTTCATGGTTGTTGGTGTTACCTGCATAGTATCGTCTAGATATTCCTGCAAATAACGAAAAAAAAAAAAAGATTAAATTACAATTTTGGTCCCTGAATATAGTTGTTTTTCAATTTTGGTTCCAATAAGTTTTATCCTGCATTTTATTCCTTATTTGAGGTTTTTGAAATTTTTATCCATGTTCTAAGTTCTAATTAAAATTGCTAGTTTTATTCCCGGATTATAACTGACTTTTTCAATTGTGGCCTAAAAATTATAGTCATATCACTTGAAACAGGGATTTGTTAAGGTATTCAATTAAAATTGGACAAAAAATATGTAGACAATATAGTTGGGAGAGTTGTATGTATGATAAACTTTTTGTTCAAATATGAATCTCTCATTTTAAACAATTAAAAATAAATAAATAAATAAATAAGTTGTTCAACTTTTGTGATATTAGACAAATTTCATAATAACAGTAAAATAGATGTCAACATCAAGATAAAAAATATCAATAAATCCATTATTTTAGGGTTGTTACTCGACTAAACTAACCTGTAATCAATTTTTTCCATCCGCAATCGTATTGAACCTTGTTTACTTTATTTGTAAAATTTCCATTGCTTCAAAATAAATTTAACACCGTCTTCAATCTGTCTTTCTATTCATATTTTTGCTCCAAAGATCTGACAAAGGATATATGGCACTTGGATTGTACTAATATATCTCTTTTAGAGCTGTAACAACCGCATTATACACATTCAGCCTTCAACCTTGCAATCTTCTCATCTTCAATCAACATTTCCTAAGAAGAAGAAAAAATGTAAAATCTAATATGTAAAGTGAATAATGATTTATGTTAATAAAGATCATACATTGAATTCAAATCCAATGGTGATGACCTTGAAATGAAGCAAGTTTTGATCCCTAAGAAGATCCACCGACAATTGATCAAAGTTGATTGCATCCTTTTGACTTGAACAACGTATTTTGACAGCAACAATGAAAAACTTTTCATCAAGCTCAACAGTTCTTTTTACACCAATATACACACGAGTTTAACTTTCATACCGTGTTCAAACAATGACAAAATCAAACACTCAAGATGTCGTTACTGGTCATTGAAATACTCAAAGCACCATGACAAATCAGTCAAAACTAATCATGTATTTATCAAAACAACATTTGTCAAGAAAACGTATCCCCCAAATGGGATGTTGGATAACCGTAATGTCTCCTCTTGATGGGCTGAAGTTTCAACCGATTCCTCTTTTTAATCCATTAAGCACTTCATAAAAAAAACTAACACACCCCAACTCAAAAACAATGGTGTTATTAAAAAAATCAAAAGAAGAAATTTACCTATATTTTTTTAGACAAAAAGGTATAATAGCCGTTTACTCGTTCAAACAATTCATTCGGTCCAAGAGAAAAATAATCAGAAGGGCAATATGGGCTTTTATTCTCATTCACCTAGTTTATTTTAGACGCAATACGATAAATTAAATATTTAAAATTGAGAAAACTTAACAAATATATTACTTTTTCCAAATAACATTCGTAAAATTCTTTGTGACAATACATATAAGTAATATGGCATTACATATGAGTAACGGAGACTTGAATGTTTTTTGCATTGACTTTGAAATAAAATATTTGTTAAATTAATTAACCATGTGATTTTAATGACAATTTAATACCTCTAGGCTCTAAGGTTCGACATTCAAACATTTTTGAAAGTCAATATGAAATGCTTATACTTCTTGAAACAAACCAACATTCGTTGCTTTTTCTATTAAAAATCAAGAGAAGTTTGTAATTTAAGAACAAAAAAAACACAAATATTAACAAATTTCAAATCGCAAGCCAGTAAATAAAACAAATTCTAGAAACTAAACTGAAAGTACTTGGCATCAAAACAACCGGGTTTAAAGACTACGATTTTTTTTGAAACAACAAATAATTAAAGAATATGATTATCTTAATCTTTGCAACCAAAGGCATCCTTGCTGATGGGGTTGACTGATAACAATAATAAAAACCATCCAAGTAATTTACTGAAAAACTGACAACCAGACTACCTTATTCACAGCCAGATTGCTCGTTCATTATTCTAAGATTTCAATTAAACAACCACTATCATCTGATAAGTGAAATACAAAAGCATCTTAAAGCCTCATAAACTACTAACCTGTTAATTGCTTACAAGACAAAGGAAAGATAAAATATCATATTAGTAAGAGTTTTCTGAAACGAAAAGAAATAATTTTGGAGTTGAGAAGTCAAAAGAAGGAAAGTTTGACTTCAATGGTCAAACCAATTAATTTTCAAATTTGGAAAAACTTACAACTTATATATAATCATTAGTTTCTTATTCATATATGTTGAATGAACATTATTGAATAAAATCTAACAAAGATAGTTATGTAATATACAACTTATGACCTTGAAGCAGCAACTTTTGAGTTCTTCACAATACTGCCAAAGTTTTTATGGGGCTATTTTTGATGATGGTGATAAGAAGGGCATTAATGTCTTTTGAACAGTGAATTCCTCTTCATTTTTTGTGTGGGAAAAACTACAGCATTTGTCTTATTGTCATCACCCTTAGGCAAATAGCATGCCAAGCATGGCATTGACACTGTTTAATTTGCACATTGGAAACAACCTGACAGGCTTACCTTGATAACTCCTTTTCTTTTGTCAAGTACATACTTGACCTTGATCCCATGCGTATTTGAATCACCTAAAAGGCCAAAACAATAAACAACATTAGCAAAAATGGAGTACCCCTCTAAGGTGTTGAAACAATGAAAATAGTCATACGAATAAGATAAACTTGATTATCTATAAACATCACACCACCAAAACTCCAAGTATCGATGGAATCAAACAACATACCCCATAAATGCAACAAGGTGAAAGAAAAAAAAATCATAAACCATGCTAGGTATTTTATCATGATGCTCAATAACTACTACTCAGACCAGATCAATTAACTTAAATGAATGTGCAATATGCCTCATTAAACTAAAGTGTAACACGTGGTATGGCATCATTGTCTAGCGTACATTTAAGAAATACTAGATATGGTCAAAGAAGCATAAAAAACATACATATATGTGCATCTTCTTTTTTGCTCCTTCATTTCTTCTGTCTTAGGTTTCAAAGCACCTGAGATAAACCATTTGAACTTTAGATACTTGGTTTCAATATAGATTTGAACATTTATGGAAAAACAAAAGTTAGAGGACAAATACTCTCCTACCTTGTTTTGTGACCCAAATGACTTAGCATCAAGAAATTTCAACATTATGGCATGAATTCTGCATCAACTATCACTTTTTTTAACACATCAGAGGTCCCACATAACCAAAATAACACAAAGGGATTCAGAGAGGTTCGGTGGAAGAAAATGTGTCACATGTAAGGAATGATTCATCTGCTACATGAAAAGCATATTGCCCCTCCCATCACCATCAGAAGATCCAACAACTATAAAGAGAGAAGTCTGATAATGAAATATGCCATGTGTCCCATCCTACCTTCTTTTCAAAACAAGAAAGAAAGAATTTGATTTGAAAATCATATACAAAAAGCCAAGGAAGTCTGTAAACAAACAACTTTGCAATTATTAAGAATGATATTAGCATCATAGTAAATGTAATCAATATGTACATTCATTTGTGAAGAACGTAACTAAAATGATTCAAAACACACATCCTGATCACCTATGTTTTTAATCAACAACCCCTCTCCTCATAAAGATTATTTCATTAATATATGGTCACATAATCAACAGTTATGGTGATACTGAAAACCCTAATCAAGGAAAATTAGAGCAAAAATAACTCTAACTTTGTAATTGTTGATTGGAGATGAAGGAGAAATTATTTACGTGATTCAATCTTGTCTTCTTCCCATCTTTATATATGTTTTCTATAATAAACATAGACCAAACTGTATGTTTTCTATAATAGACATAGACCAAAAACAGAAAGAAGAAAGAGTCGTGCTAGTGGGTGTGATGATCGGATTTGAGAGAAAATACATGTAAGACACCATGTAAAATATTGAGATAGTAGTCATAAACAGAAGAAAATGAAAAACATTGAATATTATTGGATTAGAGGGAGCGGTGGTATGGAGAAGGAGGATGTCAGTGTCCCAAAATGGAGGGAAAAACAGGCGGACTAAGCAAGTCGTTTTCCTAAACCTTCAATGAAACAAAGGGAAGCGATGATAAATCAGGAACTGACGGGGGAAGAAGATATCAAACAGAGGGAATAAGGAGCGTTTATATACCCTTATGTCTTCAAGAAGCCATGTCGGTTAGATGGATCGTTTTTTCGAAGCGATTGAAAAAAAATGTGTAACAGGACATTTGACCAAGGAATTACCGTTTTTTTTGGGATAATATGTCGGATTTCCTATTGGGGATTAAGCCGTACGTTTTTTTGGAGGAGATGGGGAATCGGTGGATCGATTTGCAGAAGGGCGGGCGTTGAAGGTGAAGCGAACAAGGATTGAGTCGACGTAATCACGTAAAGTTAAATTTCGTCGATAGGCGGATGGGTTACGAACCGGTGTTGGAACCGTATGAATTTGATTTAGCATCGGTTCACCTAGAATCCTTTGTTCGTCGACATGACGAAATGTGCTCTTCTTGAAACCCACCTTCAAAACGACGCAACTTATCCCTATGTCGATTCAACCATTCTTCTCTGAATCCACATCGCATTTATACGTTTCCAAGCACACAATATTTTACTCAAACACCCATCAAAATCAATCGGGCACACCCATTTGGGAGACACTGTTTTTTTCAGGTATGTGTTTTCTAAATTTTGGGTTATAATTTTTGCTATACTCGCTTCCTAGGGTTAAGTAGGTTTTAATGAAACAGCGGAGCATGATTTATAAAAGTGAAAAGACAAATATCTAATAATAATGGAGTTGACTTTGATGTTACTTGTGGAAAACATTATATACTTCCATTAGAGATTTGCCCTACACCTGGCTGTTAAAAGAGACAATATACTATTTTAATAATAGATCATTTAAAGCAACTGGAGATCCTGAATTACAATTGCAACATGTAGTACTAAAGATAACCTGAAAGTTGGTCATTCTGCTCCAAATTTGCCAAAATTTTATAATTGTACTTATTTTAACAATAAATTAATTGTAAAGAAAACAAGTAGGTAGATGACTTGTAAGGTTAAATTGCATACATCTTGCTCTCTATGAAAGTTCGAGTGGTTTAACTAACCTCATGGATACCTTACTTATGCAAACTAGAGTATATTATGCACCATGGTAACTGTATTGGTTAGGACTTATAATAATAGCTTTTATGTCACAAGTGATGATAGACATAGTTGAAGGCTATGAAAAAGTTTGTGAATGTTATTTTACTTAAACAATATGATGTCACTCTATCTCCCAATGAAGAGGGCGAAGAAGAGTGAGAATGCTATGTTACATCATTTAATGCTTTGGATGATTTCCAGTTTGGTTCATTTAATTACAAGACTAAAGAGTGGTTTCATAGTCTTTAACTTCAAATGAGAGGTATGAATTCTCTTTGGTTGAGTTGTCCCTATTTTGATTTTGCTTTAATTGCAACCAATGGATGATTTTGAACCGACTGTAGTTCTTGATGACACTTCTATGTAAGCAACTCTTTGCCAAATTGATTTCATCTTTGATCTGTCATACTTTTTTTCTTTGATTTCATAGGTACAAATTTTGTTTTTTGTTTTTGTATCGATTTTTGCAGCATATTCATGTGTTGCTGTGATGTAAACAGGAACAAGAATATGGTTGTGATGCTTTCATACTCTTAGTTATAATTTGTTATTGGATTTTCAGCTTATAAATGAAATTTGTTATTTTGAATTTTTAGTAATCTGCATCTACACTTTTTTTTTTCGTTTTTTCGATCAAAAGTGCTTTTAAGTTTAATGTTCAACTTAATTTTTTTCCGTGCATGAGTTTTTTGGGAACTCGCATTTCTACCAAGAACTACTTTAATTTTGAAATCATCTTTTGTTTGAATCAATGATTTTTTTTGTGATTTGAAAACTTTTCCTGAGAGATTAGCCCTAACTTGCAACTACTTATGAAGCTTGCTGATGGATGGCTATTCCAATAGCTGATCAACTTTTGCATACTAACTCAAATTCCTTACTCAGTGATGTCTTCACATGAAGTTAAATCAACAGAACATTAGTTATTTGATCAAAGTATTATAAATTTTCATGAATTACTCTTTTTGCTCTTAATTAAAGGATATTGTAACAAGAGACTCCTTGTGATGGTGCAAGGAAAATTTAGACATTTGTTTGTTGTAGAGAATGAGGTTATTGCTTTACCCCACCCAGCAAAAAATTATGTCATGATTTTATAAGGATTGGAATTTGAAGGAATCATAAAAAAAAATTTCATCTTTGATTGACAAGAAATGGAATATAATTCAATAAATTACATTTAAATACTTTTTAAGTTTTATTTATATGTTTGGAAACTATTAGATATGCCCCACTTATTTACACATTAGGAAAAGCCACTTTGATTCTAAAATTTTGCATAAAAACCAATTTTTACATTTTCATATATTTTTTCAAATGAACTGTAGTCATTTACTTTATCAGCTTTAACAACTAATTTTGTTATAAATACGTTAACTTGTTTTATCAAGTCGAAATGATTAACTTGGAAAATTTGTATGAATGGTTTATGATTTGATTGAAAAAAAAAAGTGGATACAATTCAACATTGAATAAATTGTAATGGTTTTTTTTTAAATAGTTTGCTCATATTTTGCATGATCTGTTATATATTTTCATTTTATTAGAGACAAATCTTAAATTTGTGTTTTTGACAAGTTATCTAGCGGCGTTGACTTTGATTAACTATAACATCGTGTTTTTTCCTTCAAATGTTGTTGCCTTCACTTTATTTCCATTTACATGTTTTTTATTTTATAGCCAAATGATATAATAGAACACTACACAAGTTACAAACTGCACTATATGATTTAAAAAGATCAAGTGATAGCATTTCCCCCCATTGAATGCTATAAGATCAAAAGTACAAGAAAAACAAGGTAGCTAATTATTGGCTGACCCTTTTTTTTATTTTTTTGACTTGTTAACCACTAATCTGACAAGTTGTGACATTTATTCATTTTTTGTGTTTACACTCCCAATGTGTTGCAAGCTTGCCTTCTCCTTAAAAACCTCAAACGGTTTTTTAACAAAGAAGATATATTTGCTCTAGATTATGCATGTTTACCATATATGCTTATGTTTTGGCGTGTGTTCTTTTAACAAAATTTAAAGTTAGAGTTGGGAAATGTGATCTTAGGTCTACAAAACCTTTTGCTAGAAGGCAATAAAATGGAAAGTTGACTTAAGCGGTCTCAAATCAAATGGATTACCCCATGTCCAAAAGTTTATTGCATTAATAACCGCTTTTATTTATTCTGATGTTAGCAACAATGGCATTTCATTGAGTACAACAATATGTAAAAGTGCCTTGGAACTAAAATAACACAATCTTATTCCATGATAAAGAAAGATAGTATTATTTTTAGATGAACAATGAATAAGCTTTGCTAATACTCTACAATCACAAATATTGCATTAACAAATTACATAGACTACAAACCTAGAATTGAATGTAATAATCTACATATTTTTTGGTAAACATTTAAAGTTATCATCACCTGTGAGTATCATAGAAGACATACATGGACAAAAAGCATGAGCCATAGTTAGAAAATAGTTGAGAGATCCCTAAAAAGGTTAGGGATTAATTAATGATTTTGATATCATGTTTAAACTAAACAAGTGTTGTCAATTAAGTCCTGGTTGTGGATTTGTGCACTTAAGAGATAAAAACTTATGCCGAGACAATGACTTTTATTTGGGAGAACTATAATGTTGTTGGAAATAGCATCAAACTTTACTCTTTTTATCAATATAGCAGTCTACTTTAGTTTTTTCCTGGTAATAACAATGCAAATTCATATGTTACCCAAAATACCATCACACTTTCATTTCTTTAATGATAATAGCAACACACTTAGAATTTCATAGTAGTCCGCCAAATTATGACATTATTTCTTAATTATTTAAATTACTCAAAACTTATTTCTTAATGATATATATATATATATATATATATATATATATATATATATATATATATATATATTTCTATTTCATATTTTGAGTATAAACAAATGTTATATGATGTTTTTCGTAAATACATTTATAAGACCGACGAGTTTTAAATAAGTATATAAAACATAATTTAATAAAAAAATTAAGTTTTTTTAGAACGACAAACATAAAGTTGTCAAGATCGGGATCCTACGTAGGATCGTTTTTAGGTTTGCAAGATCAGGATCGAGATCCTTAGATCCTATAAAATAAAACATAATTTTAATTTATACTTTTAATATGAAAAATATTTGAAACATTTAATTTTTTTTTCAAAAGTTATAAAAACTTCAAAATATTAATTAGTCATAAATCACAATACAAAATGATAAACGGTAATTTAGCAAAAGGTAAAAGACATAAAATGGTAAGATCTAGTAAGTTCAGTTGTGTTTTATATGTTTTTGCTGTAGATTTTTTCTCGAAACGAGTATATGTTTTGCTTAAAGTTCCTAATTTAGATCAAATAAATCAGTCTTCATATAATCAAACGTACAAGTAGAAATACTACGTCTATAAGGTTGTTGAGTTGGTGTAAATTGATCGGTCATTAAAATTATAAATTTAGTAACTTCCTCGCTAAAATTATAAATAGAAATACTTCACAAACCGAAGTTGCCGACAACACAATTATGTTTAGTAACTTTCTTGTTAAATTTAACTTAAAATGTATTGATTGTTTTACTGATAAAAATGTCATCGACCGATAAAGTGATAACTTTAAAAAGATAAAATACATATTAGTAAAATATAAACTTTATTGAAAGTGGATATGAGTTTAAAGCAATACTAAAAATAAAATATGGAACGTTTATAATTTACATTATTTAAAAGTTTTTATTATTGGGATAGTTTTTTAAAATTTGTAATCATTTTGATTTTTATATTTTTATACATTAATACTAATGCACATAATACCAAATAAGAAATATAAAATGTAAATACCCGTCAATGGTATAAATTTTAAGATTATCAACATATATTTGTATTTATATATTTCAAATAAATAATCAAGTTAATGAAATTTGAAATGAAAATAAAAAATATATGGGTGCGTTTTAAAACTTATATATAAATTAAAGGAGTCCAAATAAAAAAAATGTGTAAGAAGAATTGAAATCATGTAAGCAAGGCATACGATGAGATTGATTTTCTTTAAATTGTTTGGATATATTTTTATTATATATTTCAAATAAATAATCAAGTTATTAAATTTGAAATGAAAATAAAAAATATGAGGGGTGTGTTTTAAAATTTATATATAAGTTAAAGGAGTTAAAATGAAAAAAAAGTATAAGAAGAATGAAATTATGTTAGGACGCTTGATTATCTAGATATCAAATCAATTTTTTAATAGTTTTTTATATATTAATGACATGCAAGCAAACAGTTAATGACATGACACCATAATGACTAATGGTGGTTTTGACTTACTAAAATGGTTTTCAATATGGTGCCATTAGAATCCCCCAAGCTAACATCAACATTCTAACATACCTCAACAAATGTATAGACAAATGTATTATATCAAACACAAACAGAGTATCAAAGTTCTAGGAGACTTTAAAATTTTGGAATATAGACAAAATGTACCTATGCCCATGATCATGGTGATGGGTTTTTCTTCAACATGGGTGTCATAAGCACTTTCATAATATCTGGAGTAAATGCTTCATCATCTTCTCTCAAGAATGTAGCATAAGCACAAAAATTATTGAGCTTATGGCTCTTTCCAAACTTAGCCAAAGAATGAATCTTCTTCACGATCCACCTTCTCAGTTGCTTTTGTTAAAGATCATCACTAGCCCAATAAAACAAATATTATTTAGAAGACTTTAGCTTGTTCTAGAATGCTCTAGAAGATTCTAGAACATTATGGAAGACTATGGAAGACTCTGGAATATACCGGAAGAGTCTAGAATACTCTAGAACGACATGGAAGACCCTGGAAGGATATGGATCATTCTAGAAGACACTGGAGCAACCTAAACCTCTCCAGAACATGGTAGAACATTCTAGAAACATATGGAAGCATGTAGAGTATGTTAGATAGTTCTAGAATTATCTAGTATGTAGTAAGTGTATGCTAGTATCTAGAACCTTCCTATGAGGCCTATAAATAGGTATGGAGCTCATTTGCTCCAAACCATCCAAGAAAGCCTCAAAGAAAGCAAAGTGTGTAGTAGTCTCACAAAGTGTAAGTTCTCCTTAAGTGTCTTAATAAAAGTCTTGTTGTTTCCCATATAAAAGAGTTGTGTTCAACAGCTTTTCCCTCTGATAAGTAAGAAACTGCATCACATGAATATTCTTAGCCACATTTCCATATCTTCTTCTGCATTCTTCAGGGTTAGGGTTAGGTGTGCCCTCCCTTTCAGCATGCAACTGAAGACAAATTGTCCCTATCTCAGCAATGTTGGGTTCTACATAAACCGAACCTGGTTGCATCTCCTGCTCCACTTTGACTAATTTTTTTCCCGCTTCTGTTTTGTCTTGTTCGTCCTTCATGGTCTTTGTTTCATATTTCTTGTACTCTTTCTTCTGATCAAGAAGGGCACAAGCAAAAACTGTCTGTTCAATTGTATATCCATCGACCCTTTTTCTTTCAATGTCTCTTTTGCATTTGGCGATGTTTATAAACGGCTTCCCATCGGGACTCTTGATCCATTTACAGAACTTTGTCATCTGAATGATAGAACAAGTACCAACTGTGGTCCACTGACCATCACTGGTGCCGATTAGAATAGCTTCCATCAACGTTCTATCTTCAAGCGATATCACCTTTTCCAATAACGATAAAAATTGGCGTTCTTGCATTCCCGTCGTAGTGATGTCCCAAGTTTGGGTAGGAAACCCTAGACCATTCAAGCGTTGCAGCGCCGTCATCATCGGTGTTGGTTCTGGTGCTTGTTCTGGTTCTGCCATTCTGCAAAATAGGGACTATATCACGGTTTTTTAGAGATTCATGATCGCGCAAGACACATAAAAACGATTTTCATTTTAGGGTTCGAGTTAGGAATAAAACATTCGACACAGATTTTACAATGACAATCAAAAATTTGTAGAGTCTTGACAAGAAAGACAACAGCAACTTAGGGATCCACTCGATCCCTAAATAATGGACACAAGAAAATGAACACAAATTTACGAATAGAATGCACAAAATCCTACGATTTGAAGCAGGTTTACAAGAACACAATAAAAAATTAGGGTTTCACGAACCTGAGCGGAATGAACAGATTATCCCTAACAACTTCCGATTCGAATCGAGACAGCGAAGAAGATTGGTAATCCCAAAATTTGATGACGATCCGATTTGAATTCAAAACTCTTCACAGAGGAATTTTATAGTAGTTGTGAGAGACAGAGAGGGGTATTAGTAACTAAAAACGAAATCATAATAGGTATTGTTAAAGAAGTTGTTCTGGAAGTCTCTGTCATGAAACCATCCGTTAGACTCGAGCGAGCTGCGTCACCATCCTCACCGGATTGCCACGTAAGCGTCTGGTATTTACCACGGAAATATGATTTGTTACCACGAAAACATTTCATTCCTTTTTTAAGATTTTTTTTTTTAAAACTAAATTGTAAACAATAAAAACTTTATTTTTAACTAGCGAAGCGGGGGGCAGAGGAACCTATTGTCGTAAGGTGATATCGGTTGCAAGTTTTGACCAAGCTATTTGGTATCTATTTTAACATATGAAGAATGTATTTATAGAATTTATAAGTATATTTCAGGAAAAGCATCAAAAGTTATCATTCACTACTGGATCCTTATAGGATATTCCATTACAAAACTGTCCATTCATTAAAGGATTTTCAGTGGACATTTGATTACAAAAGAGTTGTAGTGGTATGGGTCGTCATGGTGCTTTGTGGTCTTGAATGATCTTCTTGTAGAGGTCTGTTGCTGCATTCATGTTCTCCTGCATCGCTTGGAATATGTCGAGCATGATGACGGTGTCGAGGTCTTTGATGAAGGATTCGGTGATGATGACATGCATGTATGGCATTTCCACCGGTGTTTCCTGTATCATAGTCTGCCTTGACTCGTAGATGCTGGTGTATGCGTTTTGGACCATTGCCAATGATTCCATCATTGTCTCGAGCTGGTTTTGAAGTTTCTCGATGATGGTCTCCATGTTGTATGTTTCGTGTTTGGTGGAGAGGGTCATATCTTTGGGGTATGATTTTATAGGGGTTAATTGTGGTTGTTGGATTGTATTTATTAGAGGCAGTTAATTAATTTTCTGGAAAGTTATAGAGGTAGGGTGGCTGTCATATTTTTTTGCCTTTATTTGATGGGCGCTGATATTTACACGGCTTTTTTTTATACATCCACTGATTTTTAAAGCATTTGACAATTATACCCTTTATTTATTTTTAGAGCGTAATTAATTATTCAAAAACAACATTGATTTTTAGCAAACAATTATACCAAAGGAAATCTTAAGCCTGCAACTCATTCATCTTCTCAACTTGTTGGTTGTTCCCTTCAACCACAATCTCCGACAGAGTCTCATCTTCTGGGACCATTATTTTCACCTTAACATGCTTTTTTCGTGATGCTCCTTTCTAGTAATAGCTACACCGTTCCAGTTGCCCATTATAGATCGTCTGTACATAAGAAAAGAAGAAACGTAAACGATGAGGATGAACCGGTTGTTACCGACATCCGGAACGATGATGGTAAGCATGGGATCCATACTCCTCTCGCTTACACCTCTCACTTCTAATTTCCGATTTGATCTCAAAATCTACCAAAATCAAACTTAATCTTCATAAATTCAACCAAAGCATCATACATCAAGTTCATACCTTATTCCTATAAATTAGGATGTAAATTACGAACTGGCCCTAATTTCCAAACAGCAAACTTCAAACCTCCATAAAATTCATCATTTAAAACTCTAGATCTACTACTCTACATTCAGTTTTACATAAAAATCATGAAATTTTACACACAATTCCAAAGACTTGGAACATGGATGACGAAATACCCATGAGGTGTAATAGCCGACACTAAAATAAGCCGACGATGGCTCTGCAAGCACAAGCAACAAATTGTGACCGGTGATTGTTGCTACCTAGTGAAGTAATGAGGAGATTCTTCTTAAACCCCATGTCTGATTACGGAGAGAAGGTATTCTCAGAAGAATTTCAAATTGGATGACACGAGAAATAGGGGAAGCGGTGTTTGAGAGGTTGGGAGAGAGTAGTAGTCTTTGAATAATTAATTACACCCTAAATAAAAATGAAGGGCAAAATTGACAAATTAGTTTAAAAATCGTGGATGAATAGAGATTGGGAGCGAGTAGTAATCTTTGAATAATTAATTACACCCTAAATAAAAATGAAGGGCAAAATTGACAAATTACTTTAAAAATCGTGGATGAATAAAAAAACAACCGTGGAAGTATCACTTCCCTTATTTGATAGATGTGATTGTGGTTTTAATTTGGTAATATCTGGGTAAATCTTTGACTGCATGGGGTAGATTTGTTTTGGAAAATGGGATAATATAAGAATCGATATTAATATCAGGGTTGTCTTAAATAGGCTTTGTAGCTTGTATATCTATTTGAGTGTACTACTTATGACGTTATGGCGCCACTTTTGATTAATGTAGTTTGTAAATTGTTAATTGTTGTTGCATATAAATTTATTTATTTTATATGTGTTTATTGAAATTAATATATGGGTTCTTTCCTGTGAAATCTAGGAATACTGAAAGCATGCAAAGAGTCTTCGTTTATTAATGTTTATATTACATTGGATAGCTGTTTATCGTGTTTGCTACAAAAGAAACATATTGTCCGAAACAAAAGATGGATTTCATAGTGCTGTTTCATGATACTTCCTATTTTGTGGTCCGTTTTTGAATTTTTGGTGGAGGTGGCCCAGTGACATAACTAATCGAGAGGTGTTAGTATTTGTTTTGGTATTTTGCACTCTAAATTTGATTTGATTATGTTGTCTTTTACCTGGTGGAGTGAAGGCGAGAGTGCGCGCGACAGGGCGGGTAGAGGTTGTCGGTTCTGGTGTTCTGTCATCTGATCGCATTCTTGTCATCTGTTCTTGGGCTGGTGTTTTTGGGATAGGTGTCTCTGATTGTGTTGTTGATTCTTGGATGTCAATTATTATGAAACAGATGTTGTCAGTTGTTGATGTTCTGAGCATTTGATACACATTGTTTTTGTTTGGTCTTTTTGGTCGGTGATGACTGGAGGGAGGGTGTTCCTGTTTGGGAGCAGGGTGTCGGATATAAACTTTTCAAGCGGTGATTTTAACAGTTTCCGACATGCTGTTTCGGATACGACTGCAGGTATGGTGTCCGTGGTGTCGGTAATGGTCACTGTGAACTTGTTATTGGATTAGTGTCTAAGTCCATAACTATTTTGGTATGTACTTGACCCGATGGTGCATGGTCCTTTTGGGTTGCCTTCACCAAAGCAACTTGATAGGATGAATTATGGAGAGAGAGGATTAATTATGAGTTCGTAATATATTATGAGAATAATATATTAAGGGAGAAATCATATTGTTTAATTAATATTAGTCAAGAATTAATAAGAATTAAACTTGTGGCTAAAAGACATTAATTAAATAAAGGGGGCTAGAACTGTCAATTGTGTGATAGTTGAAATAAGAATTAAACTTGTGGCTAAAAGACATTAATTAAATAAAGACATTAATATATTGTAACGCCCGTAGATCAGGGCTAGTCAATTTAGAGACGATAAGCGTCAAAAATGACTTTTTGCTAAAAGATTATTTAGAATGAATAATCTTAACTAAGATGTAGTATATGTTACAAGGATTCCGTACATATAAAGAACGCCGAAATCCGAGTTATAACGAAGAAGTTATGACCTGTCGAAGTTTCACAACAGAACCGGCACGACACAGCGCGACGTAAAAAGTGAATTTACGTTAGAGTGATATTTAGCCTTAGCAATCTAAATGAAAGTCATAGAATATGTTAAACCATGAGCGTGCATAAAAAGAATGCCCAAATCTGACTTCGTATGAGGAAGTTATGATTTTTCGAAGTTTCGACTTAGCGGTATGCAGCCCGAATACTCGATTTGAGACCAAGCGGTTTTTAGCCGAAACAATCTAAATGAGAATTGAAATCTCATTAATTGTAGTAAAACGATAAAAAGATAGGCGAAAACGGACGTCGGATGAAGAAGTTATGATTTTATAACGGAGTTTTTCTGTCCAGGCCTACTAAAAATAAATAATAAAATTAAAGTCAAAATTAGCCGACAGAGTCTAAACAAAAGTTGTAGATCGTATTCTCACCTACGCGTGGATATAAAGAACGTCGAAAATGGAGTTCGTATGAGGAAGATATGAATTTTTGAAGTTTATTAAATATTTTCGATATTAAATTTAAATATAAATTTTCGATATTATCCAAGGGGGGAGTCACTGGGCTTATCCAGGTTACGCCCTGCGTAACCTAAGATTACGCCCCGCGTAAATCGCAAATCCAGACCCTATAAAAGGGAGTCGAGTGCAGCCGATTCATTTGCTCATTTCTCTTCTTTCTCTCGCGTTTTTGCATCGTTTTTCGTGCAAGAAGTACCCCGAAGCCCCGGTAATATTCCCGAGCCCCGAAGCAAGTTTCGAAGCCCCGAAGATCCCGAGAAGTGCGATTCCCAAGCCGAAGCTCTACCCGCGAGAAGTTCGATTTTTGTGGAGATCTTCCAGATCTGCTGAGGATTACTACTACTGTAAGCCGTAGTGCTGTCTGATCATCTTTTGATCAAGTGAGTGTGTCGTTACTTTCTTCTAACGCATAATTATGAAGTATTTGCTATGAAATACGTGTTATGTGTTATATATTAGTTGTCTATATGAGATGGGCTTGGAATTGATGTTTTTATATGGGTGTTAAATGATTTACACTATATATGTAATTTATATCTACAAATATGTTGGGTAGAACATGGGTAGATGAAATAGTTGATGTGTGTTGAAAGAATGTGATAAAAGAAAGGTGAGGATATAATGGTGATGATAATTAGGTGATGAATTTACGAGTCCAGGCGATGTTGTGGCTACGTATTCATGCGATGATAGTCTATCCCTTATTATGAATTACGAGTCCAGGCGATGTTGGGGCTGCGTATTCATGCGATGATGGTCTAACCCTTATTATGATTTACGAGTCCAGGCGATGTTGTGGCTGTAATCATGCGATGATACCCTAACCTTTACTAGACATATATTGAGGGAGTGATCCCCGAATTAGTATTGTCTATATGATACAGGCGACGATCCTTAGGAAAAGTTCTTAGGAACAAACATATAATGAAATAAGATGTAAGGAGATGAGAGGTAAACATGATATAGGAGATGACCCTTAGGATAATATCTTTTGGGAAGATTAAATGAAGATAATGGGGATGGGTAATTGGGTTGATTGTTTGATAATGGAATATAATAAATGTATTATTGTGGGTTGAAAACCCTATACGCTCACCAGGCTCCCAAGCCTGACCCACTTAGTTTTCTTTGCATTACAGGTGATGGCACAAGAGTATAAGTTGGTGGACTTGACGAGAGATTTTGGATTATAGATCAGTAGTTATAAATAACTGTTGTAAGGTTTATTTTATATTGTTTATGCTTTTGGTCTGTATCGAACATGACATCCCGAGGTTTTATTATTTAATGAAAATACATTCTGTTTGAGAAACGTTTTGATAAATTTTATCATATTTTATTTTAGGAACAAATTCCGCAACTCTTTTAATCAAAAGATTACTCTGATTTTATAAAACAAAGCATAAACAAATCGGTCTTTTCTGGCCGTGAAATTGGGGATGTCATAGTTGGTATCAGAGCATTAGTTTAAGCGAACTAGGAATTTGTAGGATTTCTAGACTTTAAACTTAGGATGCTAAGTGGAGATTGTGAGATGTGTGTCTGTTAAATTTTAGACATGAGCACTAGCTTATCTTAGGAAAGTTTCCTGAGATGCTTTTATGTGCTAAATGTTATATGTTTCCATATATGATATTATTTGTTCGGATCTATGTTCTATTGCCGACCGGATCTGGAAACCTTATATGTGTAGGATTCTAAGCGTACGACTACGATATTAGAACTAGCATGTAAACGTTTCGGAGTGATAAGGATGATTTGAATATCCATCATGAAT